TGAATTAATGAAATCGGTGCAAGTTGTAAACCGATAAATTTGTCGTTTAAAGGCAAATTGGATGGTTCTACCTACCTTATTGGACTCTCGGAGGGAATTAGGGACCATGGTAAACATTTCGGCAATTTTTATTTTCGGGTGAAAAAAAAGTCAAAATTTTCTAAAATTGAATGCTAATGTCCACGTTTTTTACGAAATTTTGAAGGTTTCGGGCCTGTTGTCGAAAAGTTTTGAAATTATATGTGATACATCTCGGGGTCATATAACGCCGTTTGGAACCATATATGATCATGATTTGTTGTCATAAATGTTCGTGGTAGACTTTAATTAATGAAGTCGGTGCATGTTGTAAACCGGTAAATTGGTCGTTTAAAGGCAAATTGGATGGTTCCACCCACCCAATTGGACTCCCGGAGGGTATTAGGGACCATGGTTAACATTTCGGCAATTTTTATTTCCGAAAGAAAAAAGTCAAAAATTTCCAAAATTGAAGGCTAATATCCACGTTTTTTGAGAAATTTTTAAGATTTCGGGCCCAGTGTCGAAAAGTTTTGAAATTCTATGAGATACATCTCGGGGTCATACAATGCTATTTGGAACCATATATGATCATTATTTGTTGTCATAAATGTTGGTGCTAGACTCTAATTAATGAATCGGTGCAAGTTGTAAACTGGTAAATTGGTCGTTTAAAGGCAAATTGGATAGTTCCACCTAGGGGTGAAAGTTCGGTTTTCGGTTTGGTTTTTTGCCCAAACTGAAACCGAACCACCATAATTCGGTTTCTTGATTTCGCAAACCACACTGCACCACTTTAGCGTTGAAACTGAACCAAACCAAACCACTTAAATTTCGGTTTTCTTAAAAAAAACCAAACCGCACCGAATTTTCATATCAAGCATCATAAACATCAAATTTTTCAAAAAAAAAAAAAAAAAAAAAAAAAAAAAAAAACCAAACCAAACCACACCAATCAAAACCGAACCAAAAAACAAAACCAAACCAAACCCATTTATACAAACATAATTAAACAAGTTTTAACCCAGATCCGCAAACATTCCTAGAAATATTTACTATAAAGATCGAACTGCTACAATTTCGGAAAATTTAAGATAAAACCCTAAGTTCATTGAACTAATTGTAATAAAAATCTCCGAAATATCAGAAAAAATTGGACATAAATTAGTAGAAAAAAAAACACAAACCAAATTAAAAGAAAGAAAAAGAGGAAATACCTCATATTCCACCGAAAAAGCGTCGAATTTGGGTTTTAAAGGTCAATATCGACCATGAAAACTCTAGCTCTAGAGTTTACATAGTCGAATTTGACATGAAAAACCTTTACTTGATGGTGTTCGAAATCAAAACATTTAATTTAGTTGATGGTGTTCGTTAATGGTGAAGCGAATTCGAATTTTAGACAAGAAAAACGAAAAGAACAGAGGAGAATGAAACTTTGAAAGCGAAGAAGAGGAGAGAGTATGGGCGATTGGGCGGAATCCGGGAAAAAGGAGAAGGGGAAAGGAGAGAGAAAGGATGGAAAGAGAGAGAGGGAGGCTGAGAATGATTAGGTTTTTTTTTTTTTTTTTTTACTTTATATACCTAGGGTAATTCAGATTTGGGCTAGGGTTTGATTGGGATTGGGCCTATATTTCGGTGTGGTTTGGTTTTGTTCGGTTTTTCATTTTAGAAACCGAAATCGAACCATACACCGATTTTTTTTTTTTTTTTTTAAAAACCGAAACCAAACCACATTAAAAAAAACCGAACCAAATTTCTTATTCGGTTTGGTTCGGTTTTTAAACCGAGTTTGTTTCACCCCTAGTTCCACCTACCCAATTGGACTCCCGGAGGGAGTTAGGGACCATGGTAAACATTTCGTCAATTTTTATTTTCGAGTGAAAAAAAGTCAAAATTTTCCAAAAACGCTTATTGAGAAATTTTGAAGGTTTCGGGCCAGGTGTTGAAAAGTCTTGAAATTCTATGGGATACATCTCGGGGACATATAATGTCGTTTGGAACCATATTTGATCATTATTTGTTGTTGTAAATGTTCGTGGTAGACTTGAATTAATGAAATCAGTGCAAGTTGTAAACCGGTAAATTGGCCGTTTAAAGGCAAATTGGATGGTTCCACCCATCTAATTGGACTCCCGGAGGATATTAGGGACCATGGTAAACATTTCGGCAATTTTTATTTCCGGGCGAAAAAAAAAGTAAAAAATTTCAAAAATTGAATGTTTTTTGAGAAATTTGAAGGTTTCGGGCCCGATGTCGAAAAGTTTTGAAATTTTATAGGATACATCTCGGGGTCATATAATCCCGTTTGGAACCTAACACTCTAACAATATACTCCATATCGGTATTGCTACATCATGATTCATGTCTATATGAGTGTATTTTCAAGTTTCGTTTTAAAATTACTCCTATTAAATATGTAAGTGACAACTATGAACTGATGGAGTAGTTGACAAATTTACCAAGGGTAGTTGTAGTGCTCAGAAAAATACAAAATGAACTGATTTACTAGACCTTCCTAGTTTGTAACTTTGTACCAATTCATATGAAATTCCATTTTGCGACACATAACAAATTTACTACACTTGATGAGAGATAAAATACAAATTTACTGATTTATAAGTGTTGCCAAAATCAAGCACTTTAAGGAAACTTCGTGATGGTGATGGTGATGGTGATGCATAACACTTTTGAGCTCTGACTTGTGAGCATGAAAATCATGAATCTTTATAATCTTTTCATTTCTTGCTCCCCAGTTGAGTCACAACTCACAAGCCTCCTCTCTTAATCTCGTTACCTTCTTTAGTCAAAAACTACATAGTGCTATCTTTTTAATGTGTACTCTGATCTATGTCAGGTTAATGTTGGAAGAAGCTAAGTCTGTGACGAAGGCATTTCAATCATCTGCTAGATAATCTGTTATGGACTGACTTAGTATTTTCTGATTTAAAACTAATTAAGAGATAAAAGCTTGATAATTTAGATTAATAGTGGCAAAATTTGGGTACAAAAGGATAGATTAATAGCTTAAGGCTATCACTCTCTTGATAACTTTAGGTTATCACTCTCCTAGTAACTTAAGGTTACTACTCTCAACATTTTTTCCTCATAATTCACATCCATCCTACTGCATATATTATCCCTATTTATACTAAGGTCAAGTGACTACTACCCTAAAAGCATTAGACTTCCCAAAATACCCTTCCTAATGTTGGTCTATTACATAATCCGTACTGTCTGCTGCCAATCATCACATGGAACGGGAGAACTCATTTCAAAATGTTTCTAGCGACGGAGGTTCCGGTTAGTACATATATAATGCCTTCTTAAACAGCCTCTAAAGTACTTTTCAGACAGTTATTACTCTAGGATCTTGTTGATATATATGGCCTGAAAGCATGATTACTTGATTAGTAACCTTTTGAGATTAGTGTATGACTGTTGTTGAGGTATCATTTTACTCGTTTCTGCAACCATTAGGTTTTATAGGACTTCATAACTTGTATTTATCTTACAAATTTATGCAGAGTCAGGAAGCCACAATCAATATGAGAATGGATTCTATATGTCATCCTTTGCCGCGACTGTCTTCATAGCTGGTTTCATAACTATAGGAATTTTATTGATCACTTCGTTAGTTACACTGATTGTGATGCTACAATCATGTCAAAGTCAAAGTTCTGGTATACTCGAGAGCCAGAAGTCATTCCATAATGAGGATTATTGCAAGTATTATGCTCTTTACTATACCAGGGAAGGCCAATTTGTGAGAGACTTGAACTTCAGCATTTCAATGGCTGAGAAATACTTCAGCAGTATTATTAGGCCTTACAATCATGATTTCAATGTCGTCTTAATGGACATAGATGACATCCTCCCTTCGAGTGTTCATTACAGCAAACTCTTGAAGGATAGGTAAAACTTGCATATCAAAACAGCATCAGATACTATTCTTTCCTGATCAAAGCTGTGTGCTTGTAGAATTTTTTTGCATTAAGCTCTAGTCTTGACTGCTGACATCTAGCGCTTGTGCAATATACTCAAATTGCAAAATTTGTACTTCAAATTTATATTAATAGTTGATACATGTTTTATCATGGAAGCAGTTGTAGAGATTGTAATGAAGAAGAGATCAATTTAAGGCGTATGCTTATGCTAAGCTTGTATAATAGAATTCAGGAAAGTGGATGGACTCTAATGTTGATAACAAGAACGGCACAGAAACACCAGATTGCCATCACAAAGTATCTTGTCTCAGCAGGGTATATTGGATGGACATCATTGATAACGAGGTAAGCTCATTCTTGCACAGACTGCACCTCCTACTGAGTATGTACTTTAAAACTTGTATTAATGTGCACATGCTATAGTTGATTTGAGTGGGTTATTTGCCTTTTTTCGCAGATCAACTGATGAAATGATGCTGAGTAGCCTAGAATACTTCTCAAGAAGAATAGCAGCAATAGAGAGACAAGGAAATCATATTGTTGCTGTGATTAGCAGCAGTTTGGACATCTTAGCAGGGTTTTCCATAGGAAAGCCTATTTTCAAACTTCCAAAAATAAAACTTCAGAAAAAAGAGTGTTCGAAACAACAGTTGAAGCTACCAACTAATAATTCTAAAACTAGCTAGAACAATTTGACTTAACCAAACTCCCAGCTCACATTAGTAAGGCAACTGTGCAATTAAATTAGTCATGAAAAATTGCCAACATGCTGTATGTAGGAATGTACCATTACTCAATCAATATACTACAGTAGAACTAACACTTGAATATAAAGGTTCATTTTGGTTTTAATTATGCTGGCTAGTCTTAATTATGAGTCCATTCTATCTAGCCAAGAACAACAGCTGACTGATATTGAAAGAGAAAGAGATTATCATCAAGTCCCTAATTCTATATCCGAGTTTTTCGCAATGATTTGTACTTCAATTAAACCCAAAATCTATCATATAACAAATATCAAACCAAAAGCAGAAAAATGGAATAGCTATAAGTAATATATAGTATGCAACAAAAATCTGCATTAAGTAATAACATTCAAATTACACTAAGATCATGAACAACAAAGTACCAAATATTCTAAAAAACTTAAAATGTTCATTTCATTCACTGCGTAACAAAGATTTATACAGTAATCCCAGTATCAACAATTGTTCTTCAACACACTACTACTCGTATAATATTCCTAAACCAGTGATCAACAAGCTCAGAACAACCACTGATTTCTACAATTCTTTACATCAATCAATGAACTCAACCTCAAACATCTAACAACAAAAAATTGAACAAGAAACTAACAGGAAGCATGAAATGCCTAATTGAATTATTGAAATCCAACCAAAAGTCAGATTCTACTAAATCAGGCATCAATTCTCAGTAAGAGGGTAGTAAGAGTTGCTTACAGTAAAGCAAGAACAACCAAAGATACTGCAAGAATCTTCCAGAAACCATTGCTCTCAGCATTTCTGTAGGACCTACTATAGTCAAGATCATACTTGCTGGTCAAGTTAGGGTAGAAAATCCCCCATTGCCGGAATGAAGCATTGCTGTTTCCTTGATCCCTTTCCTTATCAAACAGCTCATAGATGTAAACCCCAGAAACCCCTTCTTTCTTCAGAGGTGTACCAACCCCAGATTTAAGATGCTTGAGCAAACCTCTCAGATACATTTCGGCGAACACCTGGTTGGCATTATTCTCCTCCGAGATTGCAGGTGCATTCGGCCACCCGGTTTCGGTTACGACAACCGGAATATTCTCATGCCCGGCGACCGCCATTGCCGACAGAACCGCATCAACCAAGGTATCAAAGAGATTCTGGTACCGTACTCCGGTGGTCGGATCATCCACAAAACTGTACCGACTTTTTTGAAACAGAGCATACCCAAGAACAACCTCATGGTTCAACCGGTAAAAATCGTACGGATGAATATTCACCAAGAAAGAGGAATTCGCTTCTTCCAAGAAATCCAGCAATGGCCGGATTAAGTGTTCGTTTAGCGGTTCACTGAACTCAGCAGAAGAAGGGGGGAAAGCAGAGGTGATGAGAGGGATGAGAGAGAAAGTGGATGAGACAGAGATTCGACGAATACCCAGCTCGTGAAGCGCAACATGGATGTTGCGAATGGCGGGTAGAAGAGCGTCGGCGAGGTCGTCGGAGGAAGAGAGGATGTCGGAGCCGACGGAAATGGCGGAGATGTTTGCGCGAGGGTAGAAGGGGACGACGTGGGTGTAAAGCCAAACGGCGGCGTTGGAGCGATTAGCGGCGAGAGAGTGGACGAGGGTGTTGGGGATGCAGAGGAGGAGTGAAACAGAGGAGTATGAGAAGGCTCGAATTAGGTTTGGGTCAGGGTCAATGAGTCGAACGGCGGCGATTCTATTGCGGTTGACGGCGGCGGAAATGTGTTCAGGGGTGGCGGAAAATGGGTGGTGTTGGATTGTAACGCCGATAGTTGGGGTTGAGGTGGTGAGAGAAAAGGAAGTGATGGTGGTTAGGAGGAAGAGGAGAGAGAATTTCAGGGGAAAAAACGCCATTGTTGTGAGCTTGAGCAGAGAATATTGCAGAATTATGAAAATGGTGTTTGAGAGAGAGAGAAGGAAAGTTCTGGAGGAGTGAGAAAATGGGTGTTTGTGGGTTTATATAATGAAGTGAGTTGCAGAGGGAGAGGGAAGAGTTTGTTACAGAGGAGGGAAGAGTGAGGAGAGAGAAAGGAAGGAAAGTTTGTTTGAGTTTTGGCGGTTATTTGAGTTTGTTTCAACGAGAGGGTTTTGATTCGTTACGGTTAGGGTGTATGGTATTACGGAGTATACTATTAGGGAATAAACGAGTTGTATTATGATTTTGGGGTTTTTTTTTTCGGGTCCGTTTGACATTATTATGATTTTCATTTTTTTTGGTTTTATATTTTTAAAATTATATAATGTATTTCATAAAAAATAATTAAATTTATTAAAAACGCCATTATTCTAAAAATTGACAATAAAAAACTGAAAACACTTTTTGTGATTTTTTTTTTTTTTGAAAGAAAACTAAACAAAGAACAAAGACCGATGAGCTCTTCCATTTTTGTTTGGTTTTCAAACAAATATTTAAAATTGAGAAATGAGTAATTATAAGTTTATGTTTATTGTTAAATAAAATTAAGTTTAGCAAAAATTAATTTCAAGCAATTAATTCAAGGAAGAATTATAAAGGTAAATACTCTATAAGTAATTACGGGTACAAGTTTTATCAATACTCCGTAACTTAGATTAAATTGAAATAATTTAAGTGTGAAGTCTGTGAACTCCTTGGAAAAAGGCGAGTGAACGTCATGGTGCAACACTAGTAAGAACCCTTTCCATGAGTGATTGAATAATGTAAGTGAAGACGTTGTGCTCAATAGTTACAGAGGACAATTGTTGACTCCAATATATCACCTTTTTTTTTTTTTTTTGAATAAACACAGCTCCAAAGGGAAAAAAAAGAAAAAAAAAGCTGAATATTTAGTACATGCCTACATGTAGATGAAACCAAAGTGAGACTAAAATATAGCATAATCCTGATTCCAGAATGATGTCCTCTTACTCCGTATATAATCAGCAGCCTCTTTAATATTGCAAAGCCCGGGTGACTCAAGTGCCAACCTATCCAAAGCCTCCAATATCAATGTCCCTCGACTCCTCTCAAGTGTTGGGCTGCAATACGATGTTTTCTGATAAACACTTCAAGGCTTAAGCCCTTGGTAGTGCAAAGGAATGCATATCAAATCTATTTGAGTCTTCAAGTCTCAAGTGTTGTGCTGCATTTATGAGCACCATAGTGTTCATTGGAGAACCTGCATTGCACCAGAATAGCATGCACATCAGATTTGTTTTGCCTCATTGAGGCCACAAAATGCTCCATAAAGCAGAGCAGCAAAGAATAGTAGTAAGAGACAGGGCTTGATATAGGAAGATATAGAACAACAGCAGGAAACAAAGCTTTTAGCAAGGCAGAAAACCCATAGGGATGGGTCTTGTGCTCATTTACCAATGTGCTAAAAGAGATAATGGTGACCGCTGATCCGCTATATGGTTCACACCTTGTATGTGACGGATTTTGTTCACCCTATTAACAACTTTCCGCCTATTGTTGTACAGAGTACAAACATAGTTTTTTAAATCTTTTCCTCTGAAATCTCATTCAAATACTTGTGGGGTTCATTTTATAACCATGAACTCAAGAAAAATCCAGCAACTATAGCATAAATTTGGCAAATAAGAACACTCATGAATAGTTATTTTTTATATTTAAGATAACTCTTCCTGTGAAGAATTATTCCAAGATGGAGGAAAGCAACAGATTCAACTTTCCCGTCACAAGTTTGGAACTGGGAGCCCTATAATTAGATAAGACAAATGCAAAGGAAGAGCAAGAATTCTTACCGGAAAACCATTTGTAATGGACTGAACAAGAGTCCCCAAGTTTGGGTCATCCTTGTACTTCTCCCAAGTCACTTCAAACTGCAGCCCTTTGGATCTTTGGGTTACAGAAGAAAAACAAAGATTTATCAAACACATCACCTCTCAAACAAAATAATGGCAACGTAACAAATAACTATCGGTATCTGTCCTTACTGCTGAAGCAGGATCATTATATGATAAATATGTACTCTTATATCATCTCGAGCAGTTTTCAAAGCAGCCTCCTTATATAGAATGGCTAGTTCATCCACTAACCTGCAATTAAAGATTGAAGTGATAAAAAAACCAGATGGCTCTCAGACTTTCAGTTACACACAAGGAAATTGAGGGTTTTCAAGGTGGTATCAAGACTCTCAGCCATCACATTAATTGATCAAACAAATACAACATTGTAGCCACTTGCTAAAACAACAATCATGGCCAGTATGTCATACAATCCCAGATATATACTATTGCCATATTTGAATGTTCAGTAACATACATACAGAAGAACAATTTCACCGGCATATAAACTATTAGCCAATAATAAAAGGCCAATATGGCATGCACACATGCAGTGCAGGACAGTAATGCTGACTCACCTTATAGTGTGTGGACTGCTCCTTAACCATGTCAATTTCACAACTGTGTAGATACTTTCAAGGGCCTATAACAATTTTGAGACCATTTAAAAGTTCCATTTACATACCATAAAAATTGATGTTTAGGCTAAAGTGCAATAAATTAGAGGTTACCAATAGAACAGTTTCATCGTCATCAGCATGCACCCATTGGAAGAAAAGGGGAAACAAACGTCTGAAGTGAGCTAGCAGAACAAGACCAACACAGCAGAAGAGTGGTTGAACAAGTTTCAGCCATGCAATACGGCGCTTCTTGTCCCTAGGTTGGCGCTCTAAATGACCTAGCATATCATTTAAAAGCCTCTCAAACCTGTGTAAAATGACCATAACTATGAATAAATAGGCTACATTATCACAAATTTACATATACTGAAAATTTTATTTCATCTATATAGTAGTATAACTCTTATTTATACAAGTCGTATGAACCCATGGTGCTAAATAAATGAATACACAAATAAATCTCAAAGTCCAACTTGAAACAGGAAAGGTAGTAATAGTCAGTCATTAACAACGATAATTAAAAATCTCAAATTACACTCACACTTGACAGCAAACTCAAGGAAATACCAGACAGCAACTAATAATAGCTATATAACATCCAAAGGCCAAATTTTTTATAATTCACCTTAACACAAAAGGACCAGCTCATTTGGACTTTCAAGCTTATGAAACTTCACATGAGAAAGTGAGCAAGTAGCTGACTATGAAATCAGAGACAGGAGTAGAGTTACAGAACTCTAGGCACAGCCTTTTCACAATTAATCCTAAATAATTTTTTAAAGAGAAATCGAAGCATAAAAAATGATATTCATACAACAAACGCCAAAAAAAAAATTGTCAAATTGAGCAGATATTTGGATAGCATTTAACCTAACTCCAAAATAAAATAACACTGCATATATGATAGCCATCAATAGTATCAACCAAATGTTTCTTCATGCTTCATTTATATATATTTTTTTAAAAGTTACAACATACAAAATCCTACAAGTTGCAGACTAGAGGAATACATACCAAGGGCTACGAGGGTTGTTCCTCTGCAAACAGGTCACAAAACATACTGACATCTCAACAGCAAGGTGCCATATCTCATCATCTGAAACAATATTGTGACAGCATGCATCCAGAATCACATCTCCATATCCGCCAAGATCAGCAGTATTGACATTTTTAGCTACATGTATGAAGCTGCTCATTCCTTGACCCTAGGTTCAACCAAAACAAAAAAAAGCTCAAATCAAAAACCTAAAAGTATCTCATAAAGTGCCATATATTATATTAGAAAAATGGATAAATGCAGGCTGAGCAAGAAAAACTTGGCAGGACTACATTGTGGCCATGTTTTCATTTACAAGATTTAATCACAAGATCGACTATGTGTAGTCGTGTAGTAGAAATTACAAAGATTGACTATGATACACACATTTAGAAAATATGCCTCTCTGATTAATTTTCCTAGCACACAAACCCTTCCCTCCCTGGATGCCCCCCCCCCCTCTCTCACATACACATTTTTCATCCAACTGTGTTCTTCAAAAGTCTTGTATGAGTAATATAAGCAAGAGAATATTCCATGTCAACATATGTATTGAACAATAAAAAAAAAATTTCCTCCTGCAATTCTTACCCAAGATTTTAGAAAACATAAATTTCATCGTTGCTAAGAGTATGTTACATTCACCATTGATTAACATATTTTCAAACAGTTCATACAATATCAACAGCTATAAGAAATTGTTACTAGTTCACAACCCATTTCGTGATTTGAAACGAAATTTTTTCTCAAATGCAACATATTTTCAAACAGTTGATATAATATCAACAGCAATAAGAACTTGACAACTTGTTACTAATTCCACAACCATTTCGCGATTCGAAATGAAATTTTTTTCCCAAATGCAATGTAATAGGCTGAAACACATAGAACCATACCAAATATTTTCATAATTTCACCATTTACTGAAACAAATACAATCAACCAACCAAATAAGCAAACAAGCCAATGTGAAATATTATTAAGAACATACTTTCACTTCAGAAGACCAGTGATCAAGAGCTGTAAGCCCGCATGGAATAATCAAACCACATAATTTCCCTAATTCTGGATTCTTAACCTGAAAACACCAAATCACATGAATTAAATAATTTTCAAAAAAATCATAAACCCCTAATTTGAATCATCATAAATTTAAAAAACCCTAAATAAACCTGTGAGACAAACCAACTAAGCTGATAAGCAGCAACAATGGCGTAAGAAGTAGGAACCCTAGAAGACGCCGCAGAAATTTCATCACCACCAATGGAACTCTCCTTAATCGTTTCCTTAATCAACGGGATAACTTCCGGCATTAAATCAATAACCAATCTCGTATCGGATCTCAAATACGGGTGAGAATCGCCATAAACAGCTTCCGAAAGAGCTTTAATAGCCAAATGCGACGCAACAATGAGACGTTCAGGAATCCAGCTTAGAAGAGGTGAAGTTGAAGCGTATGAAGAAGATATCAATGCACAGAGGAGACAGAAATCCCTAATTTGAGGGAGAATGTTGGTGGAATTGGGGGTTTTGGAAGGAAGAAGGGATTGAAAGAGAGATTTGATGGAAACATCGTGGGATTCAGGGGGATTGTAAGGAGTTGTTGAAAGAAGTTCTTGAATTGGTTGAGATAACCTGTGAAAAATTGCAGAAACAATAAAGGGTTAATTATATGCAGAAGAAGGTGGAGGTGGGAAGGAGAAGGAGAAGGAGAAGAAGAAGCCATGGGAGGAGCTTACTCTGTTAGTTTTTGGTGACTAATAAGTGTTGATAAATTTGTCGACATTTTTGTTGGCGATTGAATTGAATTTTGTGGAAGATTTCTTAATTTTTTTTGGTACGAGTATTTGAATAGTGTAATGGACTATTGGAGGGTTGATTATTTGATTCAAGTGATTGAGTGGGTCGGTGTAAGAAGCTTGTGGGTTGCATGAAATTTAGTGGGCTGTATTAGGGCTTGAATCACCTAATAACGACTTGGGTCATTGTATCAAGATTCAAGAGACAAGAGTATTGAGAGTTATGTTATGGTATCATTATTTGTAGTCCCTTTGCAGCTCGTTTGCACTACTATTTAGTAGGGGTGAGCAAACACTCAGGATTCCCTAATCGGAACTGAAACCTGTTTAAAACCGTAATCAAAAGTTGTATAAGACGTTTCGGTTTCGGGTAGCAAAATGGAGAACCTGTTGCAACAAGTTTCGATTCAGGTTCTTAATTTTTTGGAATCGGAACATATAGGGTATCCTGTAACCTGATTAAACTATCACTTAATTCAAATTATACACCAATTCTAACTTATTTTTAAATAATAAATTACAATTATAAATATATGTATTAAAATTTGTTAGACAACTGTTAGTTTGTTTTTATTTGCAAGGTGTAAAAATTATAAATTAGTGACCAACCAATTTTTTGTTTTAAAAAATCCTTAAAAAGCTAGTAAGTATATTACCAGACAAGGTATCCTAAATCGAAACCGAAACCTGTGTTCAACAGATTTCGATTCCGATTCCCATTTTAACCTAATAAGCTAATTATTCAATAAGTTAATTTCAAAAAGCTCTTATAATGAGCTTTTCCTAAAATAGCATTTTGAGCCTAAGAGCTTTTTTTTTTTTAACAAAAAAAAAAAAGGTATTTACTAAACTCTCAAAATGACTTTTTTAATTGGCCAATCATATAATAGGGCTCAATAAGCTAAAAAAAATTTTCCAAACAAGACCATTAACTTTCAATTTGCCTGATTTATATTAAATACGACTTTATAAGGACTAGTCACTAGCAAACTACAAGATAGAGAGTAAATCATTTTGAAATTAATTTTCTCATCAAATTTTACAAGAATACTATATCTAGGTATACAACTTATAACTTAAATTGATTACTCAATTTTAATCTGGATAGTCTTCAGCATCATAAATTTGATGAGAATTAATTTCAAAATAAAGAAATTATTTAATATGAAAGTTTTCTTAAGGAAAATACATATTAATATGAATTACCTAACAAAACTTGGTTAGCATACTCAATTTTGTTAATTAATACTATGTAGTATGGATATGAAATTAAGTTTTAATCAAATCAAGACATGATATTTTCTTATCAAATTAGATCATTTCAAAGTACAAAAATTCAGATAAAAATAAGTTTATTGAAGATACCTTACCTCAATAAAAACCTTAAAATATCAAATTTATAATATAAACTCAAAAATTTAATCAGTAAATATGAAAGTGACTCTAACCAAGCTTAATTGGAACCACTAATTTACAACATCATCCTTAAGTGGCAATTTATTGTCATCATGTAGTGAAAACCTAAGGCTAAGATGGGATTTTTTTCCCAAATTAAGCTTTATACGGAAATTATTTACGAAATTGGTCTCCTGGCAAAAGTATTTCCCAAACTAAGCTTCTGAGGTGAAACGCTGTCTCGGACAGCGTTTTACACTCAGTTTTTTAAAAAAAAAATCAAGACATAAAACGCTGCCTCAGGCAGCGTTTTATGGTAGTTTGACTTTTTTCAAAAACTTCGTATTTCATACCTGTTTTATACAAATAAACGCTGCCTGAGGCAGCGTTTATATCTTTAAATGAAACGCTGCCTCAGGCAGCGTTTAATGTACAAGCATAAAACGCAGCCTGAGGCAGCGTTTTTATCTGTACATTAAACGCTGCCTCAGGCAGCGTTTCTTGCGGGAATTATAACGAATTCCAGGCCTTTTTTTTCTCAATCTCTTTCACGCAATTTACACTCTCTCTCTCTCACTAACTCTCATTGTCAGCAACAAAGAACCACAGCCGTTGCCAACGCCTCCCCTGCCGTGCCGCCGCCCCTGCCGCCGCCAAAGTGAACGGAAGTTGTTGCCGGCATTGTCTCACTCACTCTTTAAATCCGGGTAAACCCTAAATTCGTAGTACATTGTTGAATTTTACATTGAATAGTTGGTAGTAGATAGTTGTTGTATGTTGTAGCAAATTGTGATGTAAATTGTATTAATTTGTTGCTAATTAGTAATGAAATGTGATAAATTGTTGATAATTATTGATGATAATGTGGTACATTGTTGAGGAAAAATATAGACGAAAGTGTTGATTAAATTGTCGACGAAATTGTTGATGAAATTGTCAATGATAATGTGGTTTGTTTTTGATGAAATTCTTGATGAAATTCTTGATGGTAATGTGGTCTATTATTGTGAAAAAAATGATAAAATTGTTGATGGTAATGCGGTATTAGTATGTTGATAGTTGTATGCGGTACTAAGAGTTTATGAAATTGGTGATGAAAATGTTGATAATGAGAATGGACTTGTTTCATTGTTGTCATATTAGCTACACATGTAGGTTCTCGAAATTTGATATAACTTTCCATTATCGAAGCTATGTATGTTATGTATTGTTAAATTAGGGTTTTTTGACGTTGTTTTAGAATTCGATTATCCTTAAATGTGTTTTGGTTGGTATGTAGAATATGGCTTCACAAAATGTAGTGTTGTTATGCCGGTGGGGAGGTGAAATTATGTGTGATGGATCAAATGTTGAGTACAGTGGAGGGAATATGGAACTTATAACACTTGAACTGAACATGACTGTGAATGATCTGATGAATGAGGTTCACAGTAGTATCGGCTCAAACCCAATGAATGCTGAACTGAACCTTAAAATGAGGTGTGAGACTGGGCATGGGGTTCAAGTGTTACCTGTCTCCACAAACAAACATTTAAAAGCTTTGAGAAGCATTGTTACAATGAAGGGTGTTCCCAATGAGATATATGTAGAAACAGTGCCTATATGTACCCAACAAAGTACTTGGGTAGAACAACATCCTACATATGTCTCCGATTACAACACCGCGTCCTTCCAAGGCCCTTCAAACCACATTCCATCAAATGAATATGGGATGGGAACTTTCAGTCGCTTGCTGCATGATGATCAATTTCAGATGCCGTTTAGTCCTCATATAGCATCACCTGCACATGCGGGGGGTTGTGTGACAATGTTCGGCCAATCCGGTCCTTCAACATCAAACACCGTGGCTCCGTCACCGATGCGAGATGAGGTTCAAGAATCACCGTCTCAAGAAGACCCAAGTCATTTTGATAATATTGTGAATAACGAATTGTCGGTGTACGATGTGTATGCGGATACAGATGATGAGGATGATAATGGGGAGGATTATGATAGGCTTGATGACATGGATCTTGAAGATGGGCAGATGGAAATTGATGAGCCCTTGGTTAGAACTGCAGTACCCTGGTTTATTCAGATAAATGAGAATTATGAAGTTGATGAGTATTGGGCCAATTCAGGGAGTCATACATCATTTGTTCCAGGAGGAGAATTCAAGAAGGGGATGTACTTTGACAGTAAGAAAACGCTTCAAGAAATGGTGAAGATGTATTCTATACAGAGAAATCAATTCTACACCACAGTGACCTCAAATGAGAGTGTCCTTCATCTGCGTTGCAAGAAGAAATGTGGATGGTCTCTAAGGGGTACCAGGACAAGTGAGCACTCGCGTGGCTTCACCATAGTCACATACAAAGGCCCGCATCGGGAGAACTGTGTTACCGAATTACTATCTAATGATCACCCACACTTGGATTCGTCCATAATACTGAGTTTGTGAAGTCCTTTGTGCAGAAAGATCCGACTCTAAAAGTTGAATTCATTCAGGAACTCATCTCCAAGCAATTCCATTTTGAAGTTCCTTATAAAAGAGCATGGTATGCCAAGGACAAAGCCATCACTCAAATTTTTGGGGATTGGGAGAGTTCTTACAGCAGAATTCCTCAGTTCATGCAAGCACTGCAACAGTCAAACCAGAGAACCGTAGTCATATGGAAACACAAAGCTCTAGTGGAGGGTAGGTATACCAGCAAAATGGAAGTATTTGAACGAGTGTTTTGAGCATTTGGTCCTTGTATCGATGGTTTCAAACATTGTATGCCTGTTATCTGTATCGATGGGACGCACTTGTACGGGAATTATAAAGGAACACTTTTGGTTGCTACAGGTGTGGATGGAAACTTCCAAGTATTTCCACTAGCATTTGCGTTGGTTGAGGGGGAAAACATTTCTAGCTGGTCTTGGTTTATGAGCTGTCTTCGGGATAGAGTTACGCAACGAGATGGCTTGTGTGTTATATTTGATCGACATGCAGGGATTATTGCAGCAATGAATGATCCTAACATTGGATTCACTCAACCCCGGGCCTACCACAGGTTTTGTGTTCGTCACTTAGCTTCAAACTTGAAATCTCACGTGCGAAGCACCATCACGAGAGATACGTTCAAGGCTGCTGCGTACCAAAGACAAGAAAGAAAACTGCAAGCTGACTTGTTTTCGATTGGTCAGGCATGTACGAAATCGTTATAGTATATTGCCCAAGTGTCGTTTCCTACGTGGTCTTTGTTTCACGACGGTGGTCGCAGACATGGGATATGTACAACAAACTTCTCTGAGACATTTAACAATGTTTTGAAAGGTGCTCGGTTCATGCCAGTTATGTCCCTTGTTGAGTTAACTTTCCACAGAGTTAACAGGGTACTTCACCTTAAGAAGAGAATCTGCTGAGACCAGGGCCGAACAGGGACTTGCATATCCCCAAAAGTCACTGCTATTTTGGAGAAGAACACAGCAAAAGCAAGATACCACAAGGTGGATGCCTATAACCGTCGGCTGCACATTTACCAAGTGATGACGCATAGGGGGGAGCGAGTTGGTAGAAAGGGAGGCCATAGACACACTGTTAACTTCCAGTTGAGAACCTGTACATGCAACAAACCCCTGATATTCCACCTTCCATGCTCTCATGTTCTAGCAGTGTGTGCGACTTATTCACTGTCCGAGAGGCCGTGGGTGGACCCTTTCCTGCAATCGGATGCGTATATGAACACGTATGCACCACAGTTCTGGCCTATTCCATGTGAGACCACTTGGACGCAGTACATAGGACCTAGACTCATCCCGGACGTCAGCATGGTAAGAGGAAAAGGTCGGCCAAAGTCAAAGCGCATACGCAATGAAATGGATGACACTAACCGACCTAGGACTAAATGCAGCCGCTGTCACCAACAAGGTCACAATCGCAAAACGTGCCCAGCTAGATCAACCGAAACATAAGGTTGTAATTGTTTAGCTATAGTAGTAGAACAGTAGATTCATGTAGTAGTTGATTAATGACGTTATGTAACATTTGTAACGCTTGGATTATATTTGAGATTTGGTGACTTATATTTCGTACTTGTCTTTTACCTGTGACAGTCATGTCAATTTCATTGACTAGTAATTCTGTTTTTTAATTGGTTTGGCCATATTGTTTTGAATGAACAGATATCATGGTCAGACACGATCGGATACCAGGACCACTTGACCCTTCTGTCCTTACACTGCAGGATAAACATCGGAGTGTTGACATATGGGAGCAGACGGTAATTTCTCACGTGCCATTTTATATACAGATTTGTCTTGTTTTTTTGTATACTTGACCCTTATTTACAGATTTTAAATGAATTACCAGGTGGACATAGCGGAAATGTTGGGGTGCAGGCACTTGAGGTCCAGCTGGGCAGTCGATCCACGCGTTCTTCAGTACGTCGACTGGGTTGGCTTTGGTGGTATTCATCGCGTGGGCTACAGAGAAATAGATCGAGGGCTTATCACAGCATTAGTTGAGAGATGGAGGCAGGAGACACACTCCTTCCATCTTCCTGTGGGGGAGGCGACAGTCACACTGCGGGACGTCGCGATACTCACACGCCTTCCCATCCATGGGAATGCAGTGACAGGGGGTGTGGTACTTGACCCCGCAGGTTTAGTAGGTCGGGTTTTAGGGGTTCAGCCAGAGCCAAACGAGATCAGGGGCAGCGCGCTGAGGACCGGTTGGCTACGCGACACTTTTGGACATTTACCTCAGGACGCTGACGACGCCATAGTGCAGAGATACGCCCGAGCTTACTTGTTCCTGCTCATCTCGGGCGTGCTCTTTGGAAACAAGAGCGGAAGCCATCTTCAGATTATTTACCTGCAGCTGTTAGACCACGACTGGGATGAGATCCGTGGAAACAGTTGGGGTAGTGCTTGTTTGGCGGTCTTGTATCGCCATCTATGTAGAGCATCACAGCTGATTGGAGGTCCTTAGCAGCCGTACCCACCAGAGCCCAGGTTGAGCGGGTGCAAGATATGGGCATACATAGCTTGCAGAGATATGGCCATGGCCATCTCGTCCACCCCAGGGACGATCATGACCCCAACTCCTTCCATTCACAGTTCGACTTCGGACAAAGTAGTGGTGGAGGTCATACTTCGGGCTCTACACAGGCAGAGGATTACTTCATCCATAACACCGCTCCCGGCCACAGCCAGGATGACTCATCGTCTTGCCAGCTGACTCCTCCACCGTCCCGAGACCCATTCACCACCATTCAGCATTACACAAGGCGTCCGAGGCGTGTTCGTAGACGGACGGAGGACACACAGGATGGAGATCAGTTAACTCCAATACATGAGTCCGGATAGTATTAGTTAGTTGATCCTTTTGTGGTACTCAGATATTTAACAATGTTGTATATAACACTTACATTATTAATACAAGAAATGTTTTCTAAATGACTCTCTGTACAATTTGAAGTTTATTTCCCTTATTTGTCCAAATTTGACTTTTGTTAGTGAAACTATATCTTTTATATCCGTTATATGTATCAAGCAACATATATTTGGTCTCCTGCACTTAAAGTGCTGTTTCACGATGGTTATCATGCTGTTGGGGTTGTTTCCAGTGTTTGATGGTTGTCGGTGGTGGTCGATGGTGGTGGAAAGGTTGGGGCTGGTGGTGGGAATGCTCTTGCGTTGTTTAGGGTGTTTTATGGTAGTTTATGGGTGGTTGAGAGTGGCGGGCGGTGGTGGTGGGGGAGGTGGTTGATGGTGGTGGGGGTGGTGGTTAATGATGGGGGTGGTGGGAATGTCCTTGCGTTGTTTAGGGTGTTTTGCATTGCATAGGGGTGGTCGAGAGTGGAGGCCGGTGGTGGTGGGGGAGGTGGTTCATGGTGGTGGATGGTGGTGGGGGTGGTGGTTCATGGTGGGGCTGAGCTGATGCTGCTGGGTGAGGGTTATGTGTAGGGGCAGCAGCAGATTGCAGAAACTGCTGGTGATGCAGTGTAGCAGATGCTGCTTTAACATAAAACGCTGCCTCAGGCTGCGTTTTATGCTTTAACATAAAACGCTGCCTCAGGCTGCGTTTTATGCTTCAAATAAAACGCTGCCTTAGACTGCGTTTTATGCTTCAACATAAAACACTGCCTCAGACTGCGTTTTAAAGCTCATATACATATTGCAGTATAATTTGGAAAAATATACTAGTATATTTTGCCAAAATACATACCAACAGGTCAACAAGGTAAAACGCTGTCTGAGACAGCGTTTTACTTCTTGAATTTTTTTTTTTTAAAAAAATTGGGTGGCGGACAGCGTTTCACCCCAGAAGTTTAGTTTGAGAAATACTTTTTCCACGAGACCAATTTGGTAAATAATTTACCAATAAAGCTCAATTTGGGAAAAAATCCGCTAAGATGCTCATATCGAACGTGTGGCAAACACACAACACAACCCCCAAGTCCAACCAACGGCTAAAATGACCACAACGTCTCAATAGATAAGCAAATCAAGATAACATACATACCCCATAAAAAAGCGCCACGTGTCAGATAAGATATCACCAATCTCCTTCCCTTTAAATCACCACCTTTACCCTCTCACCCTTTATTTCTTAACATACACAATCCCAACCTAAACCAATTATTCTCTCCCAAAAAAAAAAAACTAAGTACTCAAAATGGCAGCAGCAAGCACAACAATGATGGGCATGGCCGCCACCGCAACCCTGGTCCCAAAACCCCAAGCACCACCAATGATGGCGGCGCTACCTAACAACACCGGGCGCTCATTCTTCGGCCTCAAATCCGGGAGCCGAGGTGGAAGGATGACAGCAATGGCAACCTACAAGGTCACCTTGATTACACCTGAAGGTACTCAGGAGTTTGAGTGCCCGGATGACGTGTACGTGTTGGATGCTGCTGAAGAGGTAGGGATTGATTTGCCTTACTCTTGTAGGGCTGGCTCGTGCTCCTCATGCGCCGGTAAGCTTACGTCTGGTACTCTCGACCAGTCTGATCAATCCTTCTTAGATGATGACCAGATTGCTGCTGGATGGGTTCTTACTTGTGCTGCTTACCCTGTTAGTGATGTTACCATTGAGACTCACAAGGAGGAGGAGCTTACTGCTTAAATCTTCACGTTTTAGTCTGCTTTTTTCTTCATAATATTGGGCCCTTTCATTTTTTGTTCTAATTTGAGAGGGAGAAAAACTGAATATTTTAGTCATGGATGAATTCCATGCAAAATTAAGCCCTGGGATATAATTGACATGGGAGTTTTTGCTCCTTTGTGGGTTGTAATTGTGTATTATCATGTTAATCATTAATTCATCAAGTTTCTTATATGCTTTATTTTATCGTTTAGTACCTTTTAAAGCTTTTATCATTTTATGTTATGTTATTGTTTTGAGTAATTAATTAAGTTTAGCTACATTCATAAACAAAAAAATTATTCGTCACACGGTCACGCCACAATGCCTTGTTGGTCAATTTTTACAAGATAGACAACTTTACAAACTCGTTAGTTTACGATTTAAAAAGGATAATGCTTGGTGATGATTATTTCAAACTTATGATTTAATATCTTAATTTTCTTATCTTTGTGTTTTCACCGTGAAAACTATTCCGATTAATTTCATCAAATTTCAATCCAATTCAAATTAAATTGAATCAAATTTTCTTTCAATTGAAATTATAAGAAATTTGTACAACATCTAAATTTGTTACAACTTACAACACTATGAGAACTCTGAGAATTTCCTAAGAATTTATAATGCTACTTTGTTCGGTCCAAATTAATTACAACGCAATGATAAGTTGTATGATTAATAAGGGCATGATTTTATCTACTGTTTTAGCCCTTTTTTTCACCACGCAATGGTAAGTTGTGATTTTTTTTTTCTTCTTCTTTTACATATGCTATTTGATTTGTAATGATTATTAGTGTGTTGCTTTGACCAATATTCTATTGTTATGTATAACTAAAATAGTAAAAGTGCATATGGTAAAACTAAAAAATATACGAAGTAGAAATTATGTTGAAAATACCAAAAACTTAGGATTTGTTCTCATTGACTGGACTAGACTGAACTGAACTGAACTTATTAGAGATAAACTGAATTAAACTAAAAATAAACGTATGAAAACAGACTCTTGTAGTCTAACAATTTGATGATGCTCATGTTGTATACTCCCGTATCCATTAAGAGCATATGGCAGAGTAAAAAGTTTTTGAAATCTACACATTTTCCTTAATTTTGTTTTCTAATGTAATTCAATTTCCTTGAGGTTAAGTCAATAAATAATTTTATATAATTAAATAAATATGTGAACCACTAGAGTTCGAGTTGAGCCGTTGGCTAAAGATTGCCAAGAAATTAATACGGAGTAGTGGAACACTGCCATGCATGTCTGTCAACATTAATTGGACACCGACGTCCTAAATTGGTAAAATTTGCATGTTTTACGTGGCTAAAAAAGTTGACCTTAAATTTGACTAGGCTGGCTAAACCAAGTAACCCAATGTTAAGCCCAAAATGTCGAAACTAATAGGCCCATCTATAGTCCATGGACATATTCGTTATAGTATTAAGCCTTAAGATACTTGAGAAGTGGTTACAGCTGCATGCCCGTATAAGTGTATAACACAGGACGGATACCGATACAAATGGGTATTATTCTATTCATACCCTTTCTAAAATTTTTATAGTTGTGCTCTTTTCAAAAAAAAATAAAATAATTATAGGTGCGCGCAAGTTTTTACACTTAAAAGGAGCAAAAAAAAAAAAAAAAATCACATGTGGGTACTCCTATTTCTATGTGCATCCGGTTGTATATAAAGGTGGTGTTGTTCTTTCCACTATTGAAATCTAATCACTAATCATTTTCAAATAATTTTTAAATTTTTTTTCGAATACATATATTAAGAAAAACAAAGTCATGTAAAACCTGGTTTAACTTGTCTTAATGAGTAATTTAAGAACATGTTCATTTTTTATAATTTTAATTAACATGAAATTAAAGGCCTTAATAATGAAAACTCTACATTAACAAACATATCAAAACAAAATGGGAAGAATAAAAAAGAAATAGAAAGAGTAACAATATTTATAAGAAGTATGATTATTAGTCTTTTTTTTTTTTTAGGGCAAGATTATCACTTTATGCAAGTCTAGTGAATTCCAATGCTGTTTAAGAAAAGATCATACAAAAACAATTTTGAGACCTCAATCATATGGTTCAGAAAGATCAAAAAAACAAACTCATAGAGTCACAAGGGTCCACATTTCCATTTTTCATTAAAATCAAAATCACCTATCTAAAACAATGGCAATATATAACCACATAAATTTGAGAGATGGTAATTCACTCAATCCTTGAACTTTATATTCTATCTTATTGGAAGAAAGACACGTGGCAAAAACCCATTAACTGCTTATCTAAATTCTTATCTTTCACTTCCCAATCCCACTGTCTTTCCTTCCCTCAATTTTCTGCTGCCAAATCTCTCTGAACATCACAGCAGTAAACCATGGAGACCAGCATGGCTAGTTGTTCTAGAAGCATTTTGCTCCCTAGAGTCTCTTCTCAGCATTCTTCTGCTCTTTTGCCTTCTTCTTTCAACCCTAAGGTATGCTATTGCTTAAGGTTTATGTTCAATAATTTTGTACATTCATATACATGATTACTTTTTCTATGGTCTTAACAATAATCTACTTTACGCTACAATCTTGGACAACGGCTTTGTTACCTATTTATGATTCCATCAGTCTTTATCAGGACTTATTTTTCTTGAAATTTGACATATTAGGAGTTTGATGAACTACGTACAACCTTTTTACTGTGTTACATTGACACCTTTAAATTATTGTTATGTATAGACAATTTAGAAATTGAAGTTACTCGTATTTAATTAAATTGATTTATATGTAGAGTCTAAAATCAAGCTCGCTCTTTGGAGAATCATTGCGGATGACAACCAAGTCATCAGTTAGGGTCAACAAGCAAGCAAAGAATTCTTCCCTTGTAACCAAATGTGAACTTGGTGACAGTTTGGTAAGTTTGAAGTAATTTACATTACTTTTTAATTACCATTAGGAGTTTTATTTTTTAGGATTTTAAATGATTTATGAATTGATTAATGTAGGAGGAGTTCCTAGCAAAGGCAACCACAGATAAAGGGCTGATTAGAGTGTTGATGTGCATGGGAGAAGCATTGAGGACTATTGGCTTTAAAGTGAGAACAGCTTCATGTGGTGGAACTCAGTGTGTTAACACTTTTGGAGATGAACAGCTTGCTATTGATGTGCTTGCTGACAAGCTTCTTTTCGAGGTTATTGCTCGTTACTGATTCATGCCATACTCGCTTTTATTTTATATGTTGGATCTTATAGATAATCAAATGAGATGCATACAAATGAAAGCTTAGGAAATTCTGATTCTACTCATTAATAAGGGTAAAATCTTGTGTGAAACGCCGTTTACAACCACTAGTTATGATATGACTTTTCATCTAAGAGAAACTTTTGAATGTGTCACAAAAATCAGTCTGAAACAGTCTTTAAATTGTGTCCTGCATAATATGGAATCTATTGTAACAATAAGACATGATAGAGTTTGTAAGATTGATTTCTAGTACTATGTCATCCTTTGTGGTTGCATGACTGGTATCATTAAGACATCGCCTTGTTAAGACATTTGCTTCTAGTAAAATTCAGGGCTAATGGTTAATATGAGATGATTTCAACTATTGTGGCTCCTATGAATACCAAAAAGGAAACAAAGATATTTTAGCTATTCTTGAGAACTCATTATTGAAGAATATCCTGCATGAAACTAATAGAATTGATGTGTGCTAATGCAGGCCTTGAACTACTCACACTTCTGCAAGTATGCTTGTTCAGAAGAAATTCCTGAGCTTCAAGATATGGGAGGCCCAGTTGATGGTTATTTACTCAAGTCTTTAACCAATTTCATTGAGCTTGTTTTGATTTCGTTATCTAGATATAAGGTTTTAACTTTTTGTTCTTGATTGTTTGAAACATTATAGGTGGATTTAGTGTAGCATTTGACCCCCTTGATGGCTCCAGCATCGTCGATACCAATTTCTCAGTTGGCACCATATTTGGAGTATGGCCAGGTGATAAGCTAACTGGTGTAACAGGCAGAGATCAAGTGGCAGCTGCAATGGGAATTTATGGTCCTAGGACTACATATGTCTTGGCTCTTAAGGATTACCCCGGCACCCATGAATTTCTTCTTCTCGATGAAGGTTCTTATTTTGTGATAGAAACATTGAGAAAATAAATTCATAATGTCCAATGCATAAGTTGATCACATTACTAGTAATTAGTACAATGACTTGGTGACTAAGAATGTTACCCCTGTTTTGTTCTGTTTTGAAATCCCCTGTTTTTGCAATATTAGGAAAATGGCAACATGTGAAGGAAACAACAGAAATTAATGAAGGAAAGTTGTTCTGCCCTGGAAACTTGAGAGCCACTTCTGACAATCCTGACTACGACAAGGTGATCGATCTTGACTCGTTTATCTCATTTGGATCATGTATAAATTACCTACTTAATATGGTTCTAAAATGTGTTTATTTTAACCCATGCTTTTAATTTCTTTTGTACTTCAGCTGATCCAATACTACGTGAGGGAGAAATACACTTTGAGATACACAGGAGGAATGGTTCCTGATGTTAACCAGGTTTCAGAAACATCCTTTTCCTTCTCATTCTTATAGTGTGCTTTTTGTGTGACTCTTAACTTACAACATTGCTATTGAAATGCTACTATTTATTTATATTCCATCCGGAATTAGTTTTCACGTTGATCGTGTGAATCGAATTAGTAGCATGACAACATTGAAACAAACATGCAGTGAAAAACTAAAAAGTAAAAGCATAGTAAATTCATGTATATACATTCACAATCTATAGGTGTGGATTATTCAAGAACCTATTGCTCCCTCATTTATGTGAAATTCTATATAAAAATATGATGCACATTGTAACCCTAAAACTGAGTAACACTAACATGTAACTATATTTCTATATGTAGATCATAGTGAAGGAGAAAGGTATATTCACAAATGTAGCATCACCTTCAGCCAAAGCAAAATTGAGGCTGCTTTTCGAGGTAGCTCCACTAGGGTTCTTGATTGAGAAGGCTGGCGGTCACAGCAGTGATGGAACCAAGTCTGTGTTAGACATTGTAGTCCAAAACCTTGATGACAGAACCCAAGTTGCTTATGGTTCCAAGAACGAGATCATCCGGTTTGAGAAGACACTATATGGATCTTCTAGGCTAGAGGAACCAGTTCCTGTTGGAGCAGCTGCTTAAATAAGCTAGTCATGTTCCCTTTTTAATCATATATATCCCCTTTTTTGTCTATAGTTTACGTACCATTAATTATGGCCCTTTCATTTCACCTTTGCTTTCTTGTTGTATTTAGTATATTCACCATAATGAAAAATCAAGGAAATTACATTTCTTAAAAGGAAATGAGTTCATGTGTTTAATACTAATATATACATCTTTCAATGGACCATTTATAGGTAGAATATCCTTTGTAAATTGTTATTGTGATGCAATGATTCAAATCAATGTTCGAAAATTTTCACAGAACAAACAATTCTTTGGGCATGCATATGTTAGCTTAATTTGGCAAGTCCTTTCTAGTTTCAAGAAGCACTACAACCAATCTATTAGTAAAATTCCCTGCAGATAGGTTCAGATTCCGTCTATATCATATTTCGCTAACAATAGATGACATGATCAATTTCATGTGAATTGAAAAGCTAACAAAGATATGATGATGCATAACAATATGAGAGGTGCATATATATGCAAGCAAATGTTGTTGCTTAAACTTTGCTCCCCTTCCACTTGCTTGTTCAACAAATTAAGCTACTTGGCTTGTTTTCGTCCTAGGAAGTAAATGATAATCAATATAAGATCATACAGAAATTGAAAACTGATTCATGAGGAAGATAAGCTGTTACCCTCAGAGAAAATCATGCAAAATCGAAACGAACACCATCGAAAATTCCTACTAGAAATTAATTTTGCTGTGAAACTATCTCTGTCTTTCTGTTGAAAATAACAGCACAACCAAATGTAAATTAGTGATATGACTAGTGATTAAGAGGAGTCAATCCAGATTAAGCACCTAAGAAGCTTTGAGATATCAATCAAAAGTTAAGCTGTTAATTAAGCTCATCTTAATGTTTAATTAACGCTTTCATGTAGCCTTCAAAATGATGAATTAACACATCATGAAACAAACAGTTCAACAAATAGGGCAAATCTTCTAATTGTTCCCACTTTTTATTTTAATTTCATTGGTTCTTGCTATATTTTACTGCAATTCAACCACTTAATTTCCATTTTTACAATGTTTAATGTGTGCTCATTATTTGCAATATGATAAAGTACTCAACGAACAGAGTATTTTCAAATGTGAAAAATAATTAAGACTATGATATTTGTGTGTATATTAAGTAACAAGCAGACTGCGTGTAAGAATTTGAAGCATATATGCCAATAGTTCCTGAGTTCGTCCTTTTTTTTTTTTGACATGCCCAAACAAAATTTAAGTGTTGCAAAGTAATAAGTTCAGCAAACTACTCAATAGCAAAAGATCTTTACTAACTCTAATCTTTTGTTACAAAGAGATAGAACAAATTAAATAAAAGCATATCAAAAGTTTTTCACTTATCTAAACTTCTCCAAACTTAAAGTTATTTCACTAAACATATTTTTAGTCGTAAAATTTGATTTAAAAACCCTTATTTTTTTCGTAAGCTTATCAGAACTTAACATTTAACCACAATTAAGTGAAAATATGGTATGCTGCATAATAAAATTGTTTTTCCTGATAGAGTAAAAAACATATTCCTGGGCCTCAACCATCAGTTTAAGCTTTTGGTTGAATTGGTCCTTTAACATGGTATCAGAGCCAGCGTGACACAAAGGACACGGGTTCAAATCTCATCCACCCCCACTTTCAAGTGGAATATTAAGCGCTGGGTATAAGGAGGGCCCATGCTGCATCCACACTTCTAGCCCAAACGGGCTTTCGTGTGAGGGGGAGTGATAGAGTAAAAAACATATTCCTGGGCCTATTGTTGGAAAGCTTACATATATAGTTATATACTAGTGAGTACTGACAGTAGAAATGGCAACAAGATAGATGATGTTAAAATCAAAGTAATACGATAAATAGTAGCAACTTTATGTAACATGTAAGAAACCCCTCAATGGCGGAAAACTATACAAGTCTAAGAACTATACACACACAATCACACATACACCATGGATGGCAATTCACTTACCTACTCAAGTAAAATGACACTGCATCTCATTTGTAGTGATCTACGCTGCCGTGGAGTCAGACCATTGCATACTTATTAAGTTCTAGATTGAGGAACAACATTTAATCTACCAAATATATATTAGTACAAACTAATACTACTAATCAAATAGAAAAACAAAATTACTAGAGATCAAACAACAAGAATGAATAAGGAAGTATCGAAATCGAGGGAGGGAAGGATGGAACGTTGGATTCATGCTCTAGTTATTCTACTCATGTTTCCTGCATTAGCAGAGGCCACTATTAGGCATTACAACTTCAAGGTACGTGACATACTTAATTAACTTGATAATTAACATTATAATTATGTGTTAGCTAGTGCTATGTTTCACTTACTAGAGAAGTCAAAACAATTTGATTCCTTTTCCATGCAATATATAGAGTTATTTAGTGGTGCAGTTTGTTTCAGACTTTCAACTAAACCAAGTTATTTTGTACCTTCTATCAATGATAAATGGTTTTGGGTAAGGTCCCGTAAAATAAGAAAAATGGTTTTGGGTAAGGTAAGCAAAGGCAACCAATGAATGTACAAATATAGTAACACGTACAATTTTGTTGAAGCTACAATTGTCAATTGACATGCTACATATTATTCTAATGATGGCCAAAATTGTTTATAACGTGTTAGATCTTTAATAACGTCCATCAAATAATTTTTCAAACTAAGAAGTAGTAGTACTATTCTTGTTGGCACAAGTAGGTAGTCATGAAGAACTACACAAAACTTTGTTCCACCAAGGCTATTGCCACAGTCAACGGAAAATTTCCCGGGCCAACCCTCCATGCAAGGGAGGGTGACAACGTTCTTGTCAAAGTCATCAATAACATCAATTACAACGTTACTATACATTGGTAAGACTTTAAACCTTTAAAACACGTTCATTATTTGATCAATTGATAATCCTCGCCATGTTTCTGTACATAATGACTTAAAGTTACTAGACGAGTTCAGGACTAACATATCATCTATGATATAATTATATGTATATTGTAGGCATGGTATTCGACAACTCAGAACGGGGTGGTCCGATGGTCCAGCATATGTAGCACAATGCCCTATCCAGCCGGAACAAAGCTATCTTTACAACTTCACCATCATAGGTCAAAGAGGAACATTGTTCTGGCACGCACATATATCCTGGCTAAGGGCAACCCTACATGGAGCCATTGTTATATTGCCTAAGAAAGGCACCCCATACCCTTTCCCACATCCTGTCAAAGAGAAAGTTATTGTGTTAGGTAAGGCTTTAATAATACCTTATTAATATGTATATTCATATTTTACTTAAACTTTCAATATCATTACTTAAGTAGAATTTTTAATTTGCACCAAGTACTAAATAATGTCAATGTCATATAAAGTCCCACACTCCCATGCAATTAGTATTCCTTGACATTTTCTTTAGTATTCTCTGAAATGTAATTGGAAGACGACATTGGACCTACAGACCTACTAAACCGGCCCAACAACAATTGTCATGTTATATGTTTTTAGCACACACATTATATGTATTTATGTTTCATCAAAAAGTATGCAAGTTGAAAGTTGAAGTAATTCAACTTATATAGTATAATAATTAATGGATAGATCCACTTTTATTCAAGAGGCTTGGGGTTCAATAATTCTCGTCACCATCAATTTTATAGTTGGTAATTGTGAATTTGGGATAATTTAGTGGTTTAAACCGTTTAATTTTGTGACCAAATGACTAAGGTTTCCTTGTAAATTGAGATCCCCTTATTTCTCCCCGCCTATGAAGGATTGTGTTAGATGTGACGTTGTGGTAAATTTATTTCCAAATATGGATGGTAGTATTGATTATTTGGATTGAATTAAGCTTTTACTATCAATTGCAGGGGAATGGTGGAAAGCAGATACAGAGGCAGTGATCAATCAAGCTACAAAATCTGGTATGCCACCAAATGTATCAGATTCACATACCATAAATGGCCATACTGGACCAGTCCGAAATTGTTCAATTTCGACACAGGGTACTTTTACTCATACTTGATAATTGTTACCACTAAAAAATTGCTTAGGGCATGTTCTCTTTAGCTTAGTTTCAGTTCAGTTCAGTATTTAATTTGCTTTTTTCATAAATAATTCAATTTAGCTCAGTTCAGTTCAGTAAATGAGAACAGACCCTAATTGATTACATTTGATTATTCAATTCCATAATTTTTGCGCAGGTACTTACACCCTACATGTTGAGCATAGCAAAACATATATATTACGAATTGTCAATGCTGCAATCAATGACGAGGTTTTCTTCAGAATTGCCGGTCACAAATTTACCGTGGTAGAAGTTGATGCAAGTTACACAAAACCTTTTACAACAGACACTATCTACATTGCACCAGGACAAACCACGAATGCTCTTCTTAAGGCCGATCAATCTCCTACAGGAAAATATTTGATTGGCATGTCCTCATTTATGGACGCGCCTGTTGCTGTTGATAACACAACCACCTATGGCCTTTTGCGCTACAAGGGTGGCCTAGCTAACTCGCGCCTTGTCCTGACTACAATGCCACCTCTAAACGCGACACAAGCTCAGCTAAAATTCACACATGCCTTACGAAGTCTAAATTCAAAAGACTACCCCGCGAAAGTCCCCTTAGACATTGATCATTCCCTACTTTTCACCACGAGTGTAGGGGTTAACCCGTGTCCAACATGTCTAAATGGTAGCAAGCTCGTAGCTAGTTTTAACAATGTCACATTTGTTATGCCAACTATTTCATTGCTTCAGGCTCATTATTACAAAATAAAGGGAGTATTTACGGACGATTTTCCAGGAAGGCCTCTTACAAGTTTTAACTATACTACTTCAAATTTTACTGGCTCTTTGGCTACTATGAATGGTACTAAGGTTTATAGGTTACCATTTAATGCCACGGTCCAAGTTGTACTCCAAGACACTTCTCTTATAGCACCTGAAAGCCATCCTCTCCATTTGCACGGGTTCAATTTCTTCGTTGTTGGTATGGGGATAGGTAATTACGATGATACTAAGGATCCCGAGAGCTTCAATCTCGTCGATCCTGTTGAGAGGAACACTATTGACGTGCCTACGTGTGGATGGACTGCTATAAGATTTCGAGCTGATAATCCAGGTAAAATAATGACAGTTTTTCAATTAATCATACATACGTCTAAAATAATGTACAGTAATAAACACATTATAGAAAATAATAGATCACTTTAGAATATACAAATAATTACTAGTACTAGATTTTATTTGAGACTTTAACATAATTTAATATCTCGAGATAAACTTATTATTCCAAGAGTGAAATTAACTAGAATTTCGAGTTAGTTAACGAGTTTAACATTATTAAATGGTGAACGCAGGTGTTTGGTTTATGCATTGTCATCTAGAAGTACACACTTCATGGGGACTAAAGATGGCATTTTTAATAGAGAATGGCGACGGGCCAAATGAGTCAATCGTGCCACCTCCAAAAGACCTACCTAAATGCTAAGTTCTCAATAAGTATTTTTTTATTGGTGCTCCTTGAAAGATTCCATTGGAATATACTCATTGAAGATCGAGAAGATTCTTTTGAGATTCATTAAAAAAATGGGTTTGCATTTTGCAACATAGAACTTTTGGAGTTGTACGGACGCTAAACAACAAAAAAAAACAAGGGGAGTAGACGTTTGAATTCTGGAGTTCAGATTGCAAAGAAGCTTCAGATGAATGAGTGCATTAGTTGAAGAAAATTGAAAGAAGAATGAATTAAGGCATGAAACAAAAAATCATCGTGTTGTTTTTTCTTTCTTCTATATTTTCTTCTAAATTATGTAAATTTCTGCAATGTTTGATGATAAAAACAATGTAACACTTTCATATATCCCTTTTGTTTCTGTTTTTGTTTGCTTAAATTTTCGGTAGGCATGAAGTTTGTAATAAATAATAGCTTGGAGCAATGGATTAGTTGTTGAACAAATCCCTCCCATAATAATTTAATTTTTTACCGTCAAATAATGAAAAATTTAATTGTTACAAAATGTATCTCAAGAGTATGCTCATATGAATATTGTATATGTACCATCAAATCCATTACTCGTATTATATTATTTGATCATTTGACCAAAATTTTCTACGAGTATATAGAGTATATGCTACTTAAAATTCTAGTGTATTAGACATATTTATAGGTTGAGCTGTTGGGGACGTAGATGATTAAGGGCCTGTTCTCTTACGTTGAAATTCAGTTCAGTTCAGTTCAGTTCAGCTAAGTTCAGTTCAGTTCAGCTCTTAATTTCCTTCTCTTATAAAATATTCATTTCAGTTCAGTTCAATTCAGTTCAGTTCAGTTCAGTTCGGTTTAGTTTAGCTCAGTTCAGCTGAGTTCAGTCAAAGAGAACAAGCCCTAAGTATTCATATAGTGAAATGCAGAGTATTTACGTACTAAGGGATTTTGTTAACGATGTTGATTAGCCATCAAGGTTGTATCACGTCGATCCATGGACTATATACTTACATGCTCATGAGTCATGCCACAGGCTCCAAGTGACAGTCCAACTCCAAAATAGGCCACGAACAACATTTTTGTATGAGCCTGTAGCCCTATAATGGTCCCTAGGGCTAAGCAGTTACGCGATACACACACATATGGCTGCCCCTTACTGCAGTCGAGGGCTGATTCTGGTAGCTTAGCCTACCAAAGAAGGTTAGTGGTTACTACCTTCACACTATAAGCATATAATTCCTAAAATTGCTTAGGCACTCAAATATAGAATACAAAGTGTTTCGGATGAAAACAATCGAATCTCGGAAGATCCTTTTATCTTGAGGGAACTTGGTCTCGGTCCGAACGACGCAGGAGCCGAGGGTTTCCTGCACAACAAATACACGTAAACTAGCCTCGGGGGGGACGCCGAGGAAGGCCCCTCCGATGCTTAAGTCAGTATATTAGAGAGAGAAAGCTGTGCAAGAGTTTAGTTGCTTGAGGCTTTATTGTCTTTTTCTTACCAAGAATTGACCAAATTGTTGGCTTTTATACCTTGGCTAATGAAGGAGGCGGATTGGGCCCGGAAATCAGTTGGGCTGGGCCAAGCTGATTGGGCCGTTGACTGACCTTGACATGGCTTTGAGGATGTTGATTTTTGACTTTAGCATATTTGGAGAGTTGAACCTTTGCCTTGGGCTTTTAATTGGATCATTCAGTGACCAGGCCCAATTGGACTAAATTGGACCCAAACAACTTGCCCCCCAGACCCGATTTGGAAGGATGACGGGTCGGGTTTGATTTAACCAGAAAAGGAGGGAAGTGAATGATTTGCTGATCCAAAAATGTGAATTTAAACCGTAATTAACCCATGATTAATGAGATAACAACAGTTAATGTGGGTGATTGCGGAAGTTGGACGGGTAGTGGGCGATTTAACTGCAAGGTTGTGTGTTTAACGGTTACTTAGTGGGGTGCTTGAGAGAAATTGAAACGCAGACTCCTTGAATTCCCATTTCTGGAGATATAAATAGAGGCGCGTCTTCTCTCCCCACTCACTCATCAACACAAACCCAGAATTCTCAAGAACGCTCAAGAGCCCGCATCAAAACTTCGCAAATTCCCCGAGCATTAAGCTTAGAAGCTGAGACTTGTCACTACCAATTCGTAAATCGGCGGCTTTTGCTTCAGATCAAGGTAAATTCCTTTGATTTTATTTCATTTTTCCTCGACTTTGCACTCTTTCCCCTTTTTCGACTTTTTCCTTCGAAATTCGTCGATGGTGAGGGGAGTTAGAGGTGGAGCCCGTGCTCCAAGAAGAGCAAGGCTAATCCCCGATCCCAGGGACAGGATTGGGACCTGGAATGGACGAAGGACAGAGTCTGACCCTGCTGAAGGGGTTAGGGCGACTCCCATTTCTTCGGCTCCTCCTCAGAGGGCTGAGGGGGTGAGAGCTTCAGGACGGGATGATGAAGTTCCCGCTGTCCTTTGGGATATCCTCCCAGGGTTTTCAGAGTGGGAGGATGCCGAAGTAGCTTCGGCCATGATAAAGAACCGTCCCTACTCATGGTGGGTAGAGAACGCCGATCAATATCGATTTGCTGAGCAAATTGAGTTGCACTACGGCATTTTTGAAGCTGATGGATATTGGTGCCGAATGCCCTCAGCATCCGATAGAATCCATCGTCCACCCCCGGGGTATGTGGGGGTGTACACGAGACAGCTTCAGTATGGGCTGAGGTTCCCTTTGGACGTATTCGTCCGAGACTTGCTGATCCATTACAACATTTCCCTGTGCCAGCTGACCCCCACCAGCATCCGAAGGGTAATGACGTACTTATGGGTCTGCAAATTCTTCAGATACGTGCCGAACCTGCACTGCTTCAGAAAGCTCCATCGGCTAGTGCCAAATATTCAGAGTGGGCACGGAAGCCATGGTTCTGGGTGGTATCGGATTGAGTCTCGGCCCCCGTTCCTAACCATGTGGCCGAACGACTCTTCAGACAAGGACTGGAGAGGTCAATGGATTTGGGTTAGGGCGCCCACGGAGCCGAGCCATCCTTATGTTTTCAGCGCTCCCCGGTATCTTGCCGAGCCGGATCCTGATATGGGAAGTTTAGGTCCTCCCGAAGATAGCGGGCCAGACCCGAACCTTAATCAGCAGAACATCTTCGGCAAGCTGCCGAACCGGGGAGGCAGCGGCCGAATGCAGCATATCCCGGAGACTTGGCTCCCCGATACGCACTATGTTTTCCAAGAGAATATGCTGGCAGCTGTCGGCCTCAGCCGAAAGTTTAGGGATGGTAATCTTCTTCGGCTGGGGCCGAGGCCTTTTAATTATCTCTTTTCTTCTTTCATTTTGCTTTCTTGTGATGTGCCGAACTAACTGAATTGACTTCTCCCCTTTTCTTTTTCAGAACGGGACGAGACCAACGTCGGCATTGATTACGCTCGCCTTGGCGTCAGCCGAGAACGAGTCGTAACTGATCGGGCTCCCCCTATCACTGAACCAAGGCGCCGAGAGGTTCACCTAGACTCTTCCCACTTCCAAATTGAGGCTGTTGCTCTGTATCAGAGGCAGAAGCCTTGGTGGAAGAAGAGGGATCCCTTGTTTCAGCTGCTGGAAGAAGAAGCTGAAGCTGCCCGCACAGCCGAAGAGGTTGCACGGGTACTTGAGGCTTGTGAAGGAGGAGAAGGGTCCTCCAGAGCTGCTGAAGCCGAAGCTGCAGCTAGAGCAGCTGAAGAAGACGAGGCTTTGCTGAAGACCTCGGTGAGTTTTTAGACAACTTTTTTCTTTTCTTTTCTTTCTTTTTTTTTTTTTACTCACACTCTTCTTCCCCCCTGTCTGTTACAGTCTGAAGAGAGTAACAGACACAGAGAAGGCAAAGCTCCTGTTCGTCCCGAAGATCAAATACAAGAGTCTTCAGATTCAGATATGGACGAGCAGCCCCTTCTGAAAAGGCGCCGAAGGATGGCCATCATCGGCCCTCATGATTTTCAGCAGAGGCCGATGACCATCGGCGTCGCAATAAGGGAACCTGAGGAAGGCAATGGATCGCCGAGGGTTCCCCAGCCAACACCCCAATCTCCTCAAAAGACCCCTCCACCACCTCCTGAGATGGAGGTGGATCAGAGAACTCCCGGACCTAAGGGAGGGGTCCAAGAAGAAATCAAGGAGAGTGCTGCTGAGCACGGAAATAAAGATGCCGTGATGTCAAGTGCTGAAGGCTTCACGGCAGATATCGCAAGAGAGGTTGAGGCTTTCGTCCTCACCCCTGAAGAAGAGGAGGTCATAGTACTTGACTCCTCTGAGAAGGACGATGCTGAGACAACCAAAGCTAATCAAGCTCCATCGTCGTCCTTCCCTTCTTTCCAGACTCTGCATTCTGGAGAAATGGGTTTCTCGGCCCCCCGAATTCCAATCCCAGATCACATCTGGGACCTCATATGGGGTCAAAACCGAGAAGGAGCTGCAGCCTACTTCGGCAATTTTGCTGGCATGTCCGAAGTAGACAGGGCAAGGATCTGGTCGCTGAAGGCCACTGCTGGGATGGGCGAATCCAGTAGACCAGTTCCTGACCCAGCCAGGTCTAACCAACTGCTGATGATGCAGGTAATTTTCCTTGCCTTGATTTCTTTCTGAACTCAACCTTTCAGCTATTATTTTTTACTTTTTTAACTTGTGCCCCTGTTTTCAGTTCGTGCACAATCAGACTCTCACTGTAGAGCTGATAGATTCCCTACAAGATAGGGTGGACGCTGCTGTGCACGAAAGGAAGGTGGCTGAAGAGGAAGTTAAGCTTGCTAAGCTGAAGCAAGCAGCAGCTGAAGAGAAGCAGCAGGAGGTTGAGGAGTACGGTAAAAAAGCTGCCGAAGCTCTGAAAACCTTCTGCGATGCTATGGAGATGGAGGTTTTTCCCCCACTGATGGAAGGGGAAAAATTCCTCCAGGAGCATATGGGAGTGGACGTCTCCAAGTTCAAGGCTGCTATTGAGAGCCGAATTCAAGGAACTGCTGCACAAGCTGAAGTCAGGCCAAAGAGTTGCTCAAGGCCAAAGACGTCCAACTCTAAAGGCTGCTGCTGCTGCTGAAGCTCAAAGAGCTAAGCTACAAGAGGCTGAGGATCAGCTCACTGCCAAGAAGGAAGAAATGGTCCAAGTTCAGGCCGAGGCTTCCCAAATTCAGCAAGAGCTGAATGAGCTGAAGGGTTCCTCCTCCAAAATCGCTGATGAGCTGAAGAAATCCAAGGAAGACTTGGAGGAGACCCAGAAGAAGCTGGCTGATGCTGAGGCTTCACTCAAGGTCCGTGTCTATACCCAAGAGGAATATGAGATGGGTTTCAGAAACGGATTTCGAGTCTGCCGAAGAGTCTGCCTTCATGCTGAGCCGAAGCTGGACTGGTCTAAATGTGCTGAGTGGGTCCAGAATCCCGAAGACCCTCACATGAAGTATGCAACTCCAGCTGAAGCTGAAATTCTTAAGGCTGAGGAAGCCGAAGAGGAAGCTGAAAGACTGGAGTTGGAAGCTGAGCAGAGGGAAAGGGAGGCTCGGCAAAATGCAA